CGTCACGTTAAGGTCGTCTTGGAATGGTCACATGTGGATGCTTAGTATTGCAAGTTATCCTCCTACGTGCTGTTTTCGGCTGGTATATTTGACTGTCTGTGTCCTCGTTTCACACCGTTCGGGGTGGTGGTAACTTGAGTTTGACGGTTCGCTCATAAGGTAGTAATAAATACTAAGTGGGGTTATTTGGTTTTCTGGTAGCACCAAACTCCTGGCAATGTAATTACGAAAACAGGAGTCCTGTTGGCAAGTTTCAAAACTTCTGTGCATCTCGGTGTCGAGACTTCCTTCGAAACGGTCGGCTTTTTCAGCCCTGTCTCTAAAACCTTTGAGGCCTGGAGCAGGACTGTACTTATTAGTGCTGGTTGACGACAAGGTTGTCGTTTACGACGGCATAACTATGAGGAACAGGTAAACTCGACGGTTATTGTCACCGAAAAACTCGTTTTTGTTTACTATCATCCCGAAACAAGCTTATTGGCTTCAGATTAAATTCATTAGCGTAGATTTATTTCACTATTCACTACTATCATTGCAGAATGGCCTAACCATTTCTTAGATCATCTGATATAAGTGGTAATGTCTTTTCAGCAAGTAAGCCCCACTCCTGTAAATCTGGGGTTTTTGTTCAGTGAAGTATTTGAACACGTGTTTGGATTTCCCGTTGCATGTCCCAACTGGGAATGTTCTTAACAAACGAGTTGGGCACTGCATCTTTGTGCAGGAACAGTCGTAATATAAGATGACAGCTTTAGCCTGCGCTTACAAGCATCGAGCTTCGGGTTTATGTTTGAGGGGTGTGCGAGTGAATTTTTTTATCTTTAAGGTGACAATGTGTTAACGAAGTTCACAAGACATTCCGGTCGGATGTGCGCTACCAATATTGATGCACAACCAAGTTACTTACACTATGAAACTGGTCCAATGATGTAGTTATCATGTTTAGTTCGGTGGAAATGTTTGTACTACACGAACAATGTCTTTTAGACGTTGGCGATTATACACTAAATAAGCCAAAGGTCTTGTGCACGTTTAAGCCATTCTACAGGTTTAGAGTATCTTGTGGTTTTCTTTATATCGTTATATCACTTGTACATTCTCAGTCTTGAGTCATGGACTGTTTAGTTTCTTGTTAATTACCTCCTGATCATGCAGTTAATCCCGAACTGGTCACCTTAGTGGTGGTTTCTGGGTATCAATTAGATAAGATGAAAGGCTTTATTGTAGTTCATGGGTATAGAGTGAAAAAATATTGGAAATGTTCGTCATGATAGCCAGTATTTAATCGACTGCCCGAAGACTGTTCTTGATCCTTTAGATTTTATGCTGTACTTAAATGAACTTCTGGGTATCGTTAAGTTTCAAGTGCTGTGGACGTCAAAGTTTGACGAGAAGTAACGTAGGACACTTGTGTTTTCCAGGTCGGCTTAGACTTTATAGTTAGCTGGTCTAAATATTTTCACGTGCTAAATGAATACATAAAGATAAACAGCTACTGCATTTATATTGCGTTAATGCCCCTTAATTCTTTCACAATGGTTCAAGGGTTATGGTGAGCCACGATCATAAGACCACAGTCCACTGCTATGTGATTGCAGCCAACAATCCTATGGACTTTAGGATAGACACTCACCAAGTTGGATACAAGCATGTTATAAATGTGAAACCTGCGCTCAAGCCCCTGTTCAAAATGTGACTCAGATATTGTTGAGCAATTTTGAAGGATAAAATACTTATAAATGATGTCGAGTCTGATATATCCTCTCTCCCTCTTATCAAACTAGAACAACGCAGAATAGCACGCGAGTTTGAAAGCCATGAACGAACCGAATACTCATGGTTGGAAAAAGAATAGATGTTTCTAGACATCAGTTATTGTGTTGATGATTTGTTCATAAGTGTCTAACTAGAATCTGATTCACCATTGTAGTTGGGGGTTGTGAAACTAATTGATCAACTAACCATCGGCTGGTTAAAGAAATGTCAACTTTCCTCTTCATGATGGATCTGCAGATCCAGACATATGAGGAAATCATGATTTCCTCATGTCGATCATTTTAATCATGTAATTGTAGCATCACTGAATAATGAATCAATTAGTTTACACCAATATATGGCAGTCTTTGTCCGTTTAGTAGGATGAATACTGCAGTTTACATTAGCAATATTCGTTCTAAACACTTAAGACTGATGTATGGATACCTTTAGGAATCTACATTAGAAAGCACGTTCCAACTAGTGGCGCACCAATGACTAGTATTTGTAGTTGTATAACACACTAGTTAACTCACATCACGAAGCACTAGAGCCGTTAGTAAAACTGCTTATTTGGAAGGAGTGAATCCATAAATAACCAACGTATATGAATCTAGATCTGAGCGATCAGCTGATTTTTCTCTTGAATCCTGTGTATAAGGAGTGAACTGATAACATCTGTCCTTAAAAATAACAAACTACGGTATCTCTATATGATTATGATTCTAATACGAAAGACCAAATGAAATTCCAAAAGTGCAGCGAGATAATAATTATGACGATATGCAACTCATCATTTATCTCATACTTTGCGTGCTCGGACAAGTGTCACATCTTAAATGGGGATTAGAACCAGTATTCATTTCAGTTAGATGTTTCTAGGCTCTAAACTGTAGGTAAGTGCTACAATCATTAGGTCTTCTGACATGATCCTCCCTATTTTATGATTCCACAACAAACACCTGCTTTTTGTGTAGAGTGCCCCACCAACCAAACTATAAGGCAGTCGATCACTGAAAACGGAATTTTGCAACTCATCCAGAAAAGCATCAGTTCGATATTATGAGGTGGCAAGAGCGGTATTTATTTTTTAGTTCTGAAAAGCGAATGTACAATTTATGATAAAAACCCGTATAAATTAAAACCTCGTGAAGAATTGTACGTAAATCTGATTAGTTCAGCTCTTCATCTTGGCCCTTTAAACTATCACTGTACGTACTGAAGTAATTTATTCTGAACTCGTAATTACACGACTGTGTACGTTGTCCCACATTACCATTTCTTTACTCAACTGAGAACACCTCCCCCAAGCCAATCCGTAAACATTCAACTGAAGTTTTTAACGTCAAATACAGTTAGTAGGTAAAATAATATACGTTATAGCCAACGATGCCCTTGAAAACTCAGGTGTGTATTACGGGAAGTGCGATTGTGTTCTTCATATATCAGCCATAACGCTAGTTTACAAGACGAAGGTTTCATTTGTTGCTCCGTAGTTTAGATCTCCATTTTTAATAAATCACTTTCCATATGGGGTTGGTAATATCGCACTCAAGTTAAGAATTTTTTACACAAATGAAAGCTTTAATACACTTAATTCAAGTATTGTGTTGATGTTTTTGTAATAACAATATCAACAAAGCGTCTTGCCATAGTAGATACATGTTAGGTTGGTGATAAGTACTAGTGGGAATTGCATTTCCTAGTGTCACGCTCATCGGGGTCCAACACTTTACAGCAACTGGATATCCTTTATTTGGAACTAGAACTTCATGAAACAACTAATCACAATCACAAACAGCAAGAAACTCCGTAACCTATGTGCTATATAAGAATGACTACCTTAGGTCATTAATATGTGGTACGACTAGAACTGGACTGATTCCTTCTTTCGAATGAAGGGATTTTTTGGTACTATGAATTTATTGCGTATTACTATAAACTAGTTATGTCCTATATCTTCACAAAACGTAGTCTGGAAGACGCAATTGTTCCGTCTTAAAGTATCTTAAATAGGTGTCATTCCTGATTTAAACACACCTTAAGGGATACATAGTACGATCCAATAGTACATTCCTCCTAAATGTAGTTCTAAAGGTATTTAATTATACAAATATCAGAATTTATCGGAAAATTAAACTATACAAAAGCCTATCAATTATAGATACTGGTACTACTATAGCTATAGTTGACGTGATATTAAATAGAAAGGAAAATAATGACAAGCGTGATAAGACTGCACGACCTCATCCTTATTCGTAATTATTTATCGAGGTTTAACGACCGAATGTTTGCTTATAAGATTATTTACAAGGAGAATAGACAAATTAGTAGTCTTTCATAGAATTATAAACCCCAGCACATCTGCAAACATCGATTTACTTGGGTCACTGGGTAGAAACTTTTACGTTTTGCAGAGAAACCAACCAGAGTTAGCTTATTAAAGGACAGGTAGATATCAACAACGTAGAGCCTGGCAAAGGCAAGTATGTAGATGGGCAGCCATATTAGAGGAGATAAAAGTAACAAAAGAGATTGATAAGGAATAGTAACAATTACTGAGAAATTAAACCTCGAGAGTAAGGTTTGCAAAGATAGTTCGAAAATAGGCACTGCTGAATCAAAGGGACAGAAATGCATTCTGAAAATACTAGTACTTTTGCTCAAAAACATCAAACAACTGTAGATGAAGTCAGTCAGCTACAACGTTGGACCAGGCATATATATGCCACACCTCATCAGCCCAAGATGAACACTAAATTCATAGTAGTCATATCAATTGTAGTGTATAAGGATATAGTACAGGAAGGAAGAACCAGTTCTTAAAAAGAATGGTATAAAGGAATTTAATTATCACGGTGTAATGGAAGACAGAGGGCATAAACACACGACATTGTGAAAGATTCTGAGTCATATCACCCAGAGTTTCCAACCACTGGTTTCGAGTCACACGGACCACAACCAAGTACTGTGCATCTACCAAAATGTCTAAGAATACAGGTTAGTGAATCTAGGGACTGATGCCACATTTTGATTTGGCCGCTCCTAACATTCTCCCAGCGTCTCCAACACTAGTCAGCATTGCGTGTTGTGGAAAGATGTTCAGATACACGTAACCAACCATCTTAGTCGATTTATAACCTCGTCGACGGTTTTACCATCATCCACTAATACCGTGCGTCTGATCTCACTATCACTTGCCCAGTGATCCCGGCAGATGCGAGCAATATTTCTAAGACATTTGTGATCAAATACTAGTAACTCGCAGCCGTGAACTACAACAGAACGAACTGTCTCTATTTAAATTAGACATAACTACATGTTATAAATCGATGATAAATCTAGAAAATTAGTGCGATGCCATCTCAAAGACGTTAATGGTGAATTAAACGCAAAAAGGAGTTATAACACAATTTCACTATTTTGTGGATTTCCCCGAAGTCTTGGGTTGGAGAAAAACCTCATAGTTATAAGATTCTGTGTAAATATTGGGGAAAACACTAAATATCCTCAAACGAATCATAATTTTTTAAAAAGATGTGGACACAAAGTTTGGGGGATTACTATGAACTGTCGCCAGACTAGATAGCATAAGAAAATCGAGTGATGAACCTTTTGTCGACATAAGCGTTATTCGATTAAACCTTGATTACATCATACGACTATGCACATTAGGAGCAAATCATTTAATACTGTATATTTTCGCAACGTATGTACATTGTAATTGGCATGATTCACTCATCCACCTTCATCTTCTTCGATTTCGGTTGACCGTCCTCTGACTTTAATCCCCGCTTAATCGCCGATAATCTCGGGTTAAACTAAAGAAAAGCGTTAGTGAGGTAAGTTGAACTTACAGTTCCAGCTTCCAACTGTCGAAGTCTCTTTTCCAAGTATGCTCTTGCTCGTATCCCCATTTCTGTGTCAACACCCTCTTCACCAAGAGCGTCAAGACGCGCTGATAATGATGCTTTTGCAGCTAACATTCGTGACATTTTACCCTTGAATTGATTGTCTGATTGTGTTACTAATGTGGCATGATACAACAGACCGTATTTTGGAGTGTTATGTCGTGTTTTTAATGCTCGGAATAATGCTTTCTCAGCGCCTAGTATCTGTACTGTTGAAGAAGGATGTTTAGCTAGGTTAACAAGTGTTCCTGCCCGAGCTATGAGCCTTGCACCCAAAAGTTCCCCGACGAGAGCTGTCAAATTTGGAGCTACTGCCACCATCCGCTTGACAAGATAGTCGTGGAGCTGAATACGGGAGGCAGAAGCTTCAAGTACCTGATCGCACAGTTCGTTGATCATAGTAATGTCTTCATCGATTACTTCTGTTCCTAAGGAGACGATAGAAGCTTCTCTTATTTGACTAGCTATTTCATCCGGTACGAGGTCTGATAAGTCAACACTTGAATTTGTCCTGTGACCTGAGGAAATGATAGAAACTAAATGACTCACCGATTCGTTTGACTACTTTGACGTATGTTACATTATCCAAAACTATCTTCGACAATTCAGGAAAATGCCACCCGTACATTTCTTTAGCACGCATTATATAGTTGTTTATTTCCTTGTCTAGCTCATCCATGAGGCCTTACATAATAAAAACAATACGTGAATTTACCGACTGCCTGAACTATCATGGTATCAATTTTGTCTGGGTTACATTTCAGTTTATATCTATCAAGGCTGTGAGCCAAACCCAAACGCATCCTCATCATGTGACTATCTTCAACAACAGGAAGGAGGTTATCGATATGTGTCCGGATTCCTCGCATAAGATTTTGCACTAGAGAATCACTAACTGTTGGTATACTCATTTTTGTCTGAAAATATGTTAAAGATGTATTCATACTTACATTAATATCCACTGACAACTTTTTATCAGCAACTGCAAGCACATCGTCTCTTAGCTCCTTGATGTACAACTTTTTCAAAAGCTTTTTCAATTTCTTAGACAATTTTCCTTCCATTATGTCCGAAGCAGCTAAAGGAAAAGATATGGCAATTAGTTTGTTCAATAAATTTCCTAATAATCGAATTGAATAATTAAACTGCAGCCCGAGGTTTCACACACAATAATAAACGCTCTATGTCAACTTACCTACTAATGCATCCTTCGTATCTTTGAACTGGACAAAGCGCTCAAGCTGAATTCTTACTGGAGCATGAAGTATTCTCGAAAAATAAACTTACAGCTGATTCATTGTGGCTGTATCTTCGAATGCCTTAGCCAAATCGTCGATTTCACGAACACCCTTTTCATCATGGACCTTAAATACTGCATAACCTGCAGCTGTCTCGAAAAGAACCAACATATTCACGCCTCCTCTTCAAATTAGCCACTCTACGCAATATAATTCAAAGTTTACTTAAACAACCGCTGCAATCTTAAGCTTTAGTTGTTCTGACAACCAATCAAGGCCGTTTTCCTATGGTTTATGATCCATTCTTGTCATATTTACAAATCATGAAGTTTTCTATTCTGTACACTATTCTGTTTTGCCTTATTCGCAGTTTTACTGAGGTTATTGACCATTAAAATGACTTATATATTCTTATTTATACTAGTTTCACAGTGGTAATGCTACTTTGCGCTGGACAAAATAAATCACACCTCGTTTTACATGAAAGGATGGTGATTAGTTGACTTTGCTATAAGTTTTCAAGAGAAGACTGGACACTCACAGAAGCATACTAGAAAAGAAATAACATAGGCCGTAGGTCTTCTGTCCTTACTACACAGATCTGAATCTGAATCTGTAAGGAGTTCAATCACTGTTCTAAGAGCTGTGCTGGTTTTTCAGTTTAGTAAACAAGACAGATTTCATGATACCCACTTTTTATACGCTCGTGATCATGGGCAGGCAATAAAAAAAACGAATTATATAGAGCAAAACCACACCAATCCCATTTAATAAAGCATGACTCATTATACATACACAACTTAGCCAAAGACACAGGAAGAATAGAGTGCACATTATACACAAGTTCATACAAAATAGTTGAGGTCATTTGTTTATAACCGAAAAGGTTGGAATGTGTGAATTACGACTCAAAATGAATAAATATTGTTGTCTTACCAAAAGCAAGAATAACACATGTAGGAGGGTCATGGTATAAAATATGTAGCGATCAATAAACCCAACAGTAGATAGTGTTGTTTTCAAGTTTCGATGCTGACCTAATTGGTTTTAATGGGCACATCTAGCTGAAGGCGATAGCCTTCCAAATACATCTTCGAACTCCTTCATTTTTGACTTCTGATTTGACTGGGTTGACATACTTTGTCCGTAAAGGTGTTACAGGTAAAAGTGTCGTCAAACTCTGAATACTCGCGGCATCTTCAAATATGAGAAAGACGTGGTCTGGTACACCAATTCGTAAACTGAATCTGTTCCTTGTTGAAGCGTCATACATCATTCATTAATTTTTATGTTCATCTATTGCGATATTGTTTTCATATTTTCGGATATTTTTTCTCGCTAAATGATACAATATATCCTCATTGTTATAGGACAGACACCTAAGCTAATTAAAATTAATCCTCTTTCGCCTCCCAACCCTCAACTCATGACATTGTGGCCCGACAATATTGAAGCCTAGCTCTGCTATGCATGAGCTGACCTTCACGATTACAGAGTGATAGACCTATGTTCACAATTCTTTGCAAAAGTGAGGGTGTTTTCTCGTCGTTTCAACGGGTAAGTCAGACGTAGTATGTTTACTAGTGGTGTTTCTGAAAATCACTACTCTTTGAAGAAGGCTATCCTTGAATGTGAAGACCAATATTACTGAAGAAAGTTAGGTCAACTCTACCAAACATCGAACTCCAACATGGCTTACCAAAAGATATGTTGCTGTGAATTCGAAAGGTAATTGATCAACGGACCTTAGACGACGGCCTGTTTAGACACCTCTTCTTGTCCAAGCTTCCCTAGCATGTGCAGGCGAACGAGTTTGTATGAACCGATTGATTTATTAGCGCTTGCTTCTTGTTGTCTCAGCACGGACACTGGTCTTTTGTGATGTTCACTGTGTGATTGATTGGACACACGACCACACTTATTCTGGTCAGTTTGGTAGTTGTTGGTGAGTTTATATTATCTTATAGTCTACGTGAGTGGGTCTGATAGTATACATGCTCGTATATTTTTCATGTTTATAAAGACTGAGTCACATTTCACGCACTGAGTTGGGTCTTAATACCACTGTAGTGGCATTGGACAATAGCCACACAATCCACAAAGTTGTGAACACGAGACTACTCAGAAAATAGATATTCAATATTTAACGCGGAGAAATACCTAACAAGGGAGAAGGCGCGAACAATGAATTGAATGGACTGGGGTCTATCGAGTGGCATGGCTCGGCCATGCAGGCGTGGTCTCTATTCATATTAAATATATTGTTCCTTCTCTAAACTAACCTTGTTCTTTATCATGTATTGGTAATTGATACGATACAGTGAGTTGGCGTAGTCGATGGTGTGACTTCCACGTAAGATCTTATAGATTAGGCAGTTATATCATGACGAATCTACAAATTTAGGATTAGGTCTATTATTAGAGCAGTACTAATATCGTAGTAGACCATAATATTACATTGGTAAGCCCGACTAGAAAAACGCAACCTATTATTATTAATCCTTATTTCCACTTCAACTTTCTCGATCGATTTTATATTTATGTTAACACTGTATTCTAATAGTCCTCTGATTAATACTCACATGCATTATCGTAATGTTATATTGATTAGTCCTCATGACAAACTAGCTCAATCGATAATAAAAACTGGTAGTCTATATTAACTAATTAGCTTTGATGATTTGTTAACAAGCTGTAATAGCATTTACATGCTTCAGTGACATAGTCTTGTTTAAACATCAAGCTCTAGCAAATATGACCTGTAAATAGCGTAAATATACATTGACTAACAATGCGATCAAGGACTAAATAGTTATCTGGGTCTAATTCTCAGTGTTCCTTCACTTAACACCTCATCCTGTTTTAAACGACGCACTATCCTGTAATATCTTTTCTTCCGACCACTGCCTGCCTAATTTCATATTCTCGAGTTCCATTGCCAAACAACGAGGATGACTACTCCAAAAACATACGGTGAGTTCCAGCTATAAGTTTTCTGCAATCATAAGTTCATTTTAGATGGCACACACAATTATCTGGATTCATTCAGTTGTTCTGATCAGAGCGAGTCCCAAAGACCTCAACAGCATCAAGCACCCTGGAAGTGATTGCCATACTGTATGTTTTATTCTGGATGCTTTTGGATCATTACTACTCCTCACGAATGGCGTTATATATGTCATCCACTGAATAATCTAATTTTCAAAAATAATCCAGGCGAGTTCAACTATTTTACTGGATGATTTTTTTTTGTACTTAACATGTATATGTTTTTCAGTTGCTTTTGCTATATATTTGTAAGTGTCCCTAGGCTAAATGCAGTAACTTCTTATGGAATGTTTATAACACATCATATTCCTGCCTGAAGTTTCACAAGCAGTCTAAACTTTAAAATTATTTTCTGGTCATGTTCATTATTTGTAAATCGTCATATACGTCAACAACCTGCATGTTAACCTGGCCCATACATACGTTACACTATATCTCCATGTCTTATAAATTTAGAAATCATCTGGATCGCCTTTCACATTTATCAATAAACCCATCATAGTCGTTGTTGCTAATCGTATTTGGGTTTATGGATTGGTTTATCATATTAGCAGCCTAAAATGCGAACATAGTTTAGATAATAAGATTAAAAATTTAGGTACTATCAACTGCACTAGTGAAATAACTAAATCCCCAAGTAGCTGTTGGCTAAACAAACGTTTAAAATCAAAACTCCGTAGCCTACTAGAATTAACACTAAACGAATATTTCTGAATTAAAATTTATAATTAAATTAGGCGTCTCGGATTCTTTAACGTTATAAATTTCTGATGATTTTGAATCACCTAAAGCAAGAATACCTATTTTTCCACTGACTAATCCTTAATCAACACTATAAGTAGTTAAACATAATAGTTTCAGGATATCGTCATAAAGCATTGTCATGACAATCACGTAATATGATTGATAAAATTAATGAGACTATTAACAAAATCGGTCAGCAAATTATAATTATCACTAGTGTTGTTTTTCTTTTATCTTCATTCACTACGGATGATTACAGTATGTTTCTCTATCAGTTGCTCATTCAGTAAATATCTCAAAACCTTGTCAGTCTAATTGGAGGTTTAGCGACACAATAATGCATGCAAATAATCAGTATAAGCAGTGGAGCAAATCTCCTGCAAACTGAAAACATCAATGTCGAATTTACCCCAACACTGACTAAGGTTCAAGCCATTGTCATAGACATGAGTTGGGAGTGTACCTCCCCTTGGTTACAACTTATGTTCTCCCTGATAATCACATGAGCATCACTCACTATTAATCATCTTGTAAAAACATATTTAGCTAAATACATCTTGCAGCACCACATCACTTCGTAATATGACACATAGGCTTAACTGATTTCAATAACTTATAACCACTATATCTCAATTGAATCGTATTCCGCCTTATGATAAACTGCATACTTGCAACTAACTTGTATGCCCATCAGCCGGCAAGTATAAATATAAATAAAGTCTATCGCAGAGCAGAACATTGAGTCTAGAGCATGTCTCTTACGAACACACTCATGTTTAACGATTTTTCCTATCTGTCCAAAATCCATATAATTATCACTCATGTATTTAAATTTTATTCTGATAACCGTTCATGTGTATTAGTAGTATTACTAAATTCTATCACGGTCAAGTAAAAATGAGGTTGAGAAAATCTCTCCGTAACTAAATAAACCGTATCAAACTAACTGGAACACTAGTTGGAATTCTTCTCCACGGTATACTTTTGTTCCTTCAGTTAGCCTACTAATACAGATGCAATTGGAATTCAACTCTTATGGACAACTTACCGGCATAATCGTTATCCGATTTCATAATTTAAACCAAAACTAATACCAATATTAACATTTCTACAATATTCATTATTTTAATATTTCTAACACGCATCGTTTTATTATTATTATTGTAATCCCATTTTTTATAGTTCAAATAATCTTCAACCAAATTTTCATTTCAAGCGTTTTAAGCATGAAGGCAGATATTTTAAAATTATTACATGTATTTCCCGACCAGATGCTGCCGCTTTCTTTTTGATTTATCTTTCAGCTTACCAATACCCGGAGGATTCTTATTATCCTTGGTAACCTCCGGCGCGCGACGATCCCATCCAATTTGGTATCGAACCAACATCACGTTGATTCTGGTGGGAGAGTAGTGTAGTGGCATTGGACAAT